TAACAGCTACGTTACCTTTTCTAATAAAAACAGTGCTTCAGCAGCATCTGTGTGTCTGTCAACCAACATGTCCACATCCTCTTTGGATATTATAGGTTCTTTCAATTGCTCCACCCAAGACCACATCAAACTGCATAGGATGAAAGGATCCTGTTCACCACATATTTTTTCCCAAGCTCCGTCTCGGGAATTTAGTTCTTTCTGAAAAGGAAAAACAGTAGCAAGAGAACGGAAGAAAGAATGACAGTATTTGGTTGATGTATAGGCTGTTGCAGAAACTGGAAAGGCTCAGGATCACATACTTGTGATTCCCTCTCAGTTGAATGGTACCGAGTGATACATTTCTGTTAAGGTGGCGAATTTCCTAAGCCTCAGTTTTACCCTCCATAAAGTTCCTCCCCTGCTTTACAAGGTTTGTTAACACTCCTAGCACAGAGAAGGTTCTTCGTTAATCTACTTAGTTCAGAAACCATCAAGAAGAGCAATTATTTCCAGGCTACTGCAGAACAAAACAATGATTTATTGCAGTGTAGAACAGTAGATTTAAAAGTATAAATATGAGAATAATTAAAAGTGTACATTAATCTGGGATTTAAGGCCAAACTTTTGACTAAAACTTTTAAAAGCACAAAATGTTTTGCTTGAAAGTTAGTAAAGGTGATATATATAGGTTTTTCAAATTCTTTTTCAGGCTCCTTTTACACACACACACACACACACACACACACACACACACACACACAGACTATACGGAGGCCTATTGGGTGGCTAGCCACAGGCCTAGTTTGAAACTGGAGACAAGATGAGGTTTCCAGCTCCAGTAAAGAGTCACAGTCCGGGAAGCCCACAGGGCAGTTCTACTCTGCCCTATAGGCAGGGAGTTTATATAGGATATGAAAAACAAGCCCTCACGTCCTGACATTTGATAGGGTGAAAATAACTAGGAAGTTTTGTCAGTACTCCAAATGCTTGGAGGAAATTTAAGCATGTGACTTGAAAACCTTAATTTCACAAAGAGCCAAGGAAAAGAGAGATAAGAATTTTAATTAATCTTTGACAGGGTTCAGAAGAAAAGCTGTTTTGCAACAATAATGGGCCATAGCAATTGCTCCACTCCCTCTCTACAGATCAATGTATTGAAGCTCAAGAAAGATTCGATAACTTACTTGGGACCTAAAACCTAGCAAATAGAAAGAAAAGCCTTCATACCCAATTCTACAATACTTCAGTGTATTTCTGCTAACTCACAGTGATCCTTCAGGATTGGCTTCCTTTTTTCATCTCCTAGTTAAGCCAATACTTTTAGTAGTACATAGTTCTTCTGATCCCATGGATTATGAATTACATGAGTATCTTTTTATTCACTTTTATGGAACCCTGGTGGCATAGTGATTATGCACTGGGTTGCTAACGGCAAGGTCTGTGGTTTCGAAACACCAGCCGAGGGAGAAAGATGGTTTTCTACTTGTGTGAAGTGCTACAGTCTTGGAAATCCACAGAGGCAGCTCTAGCCTGACCTATGGAGTTGTTATGAGTCAGAATCAATTTGATGGTAGTAAGTTTGCTTTATAATGGAACCAGAAGACAAGTGATGAAAAAAAATGACATTTCTCAAAGACCTCATAGTAAAATGACTTCCCGTTATGAAGTTTTCTGAAATCTTCCAGTGAAGCTAGGAAGAACATCATGGGATAATGTATTAAACAGTTATGAATTGTATGATACCTAACCTTTGTGAGCCTTGGCCTACCCTATGTGACTTCAGTCTCCTCATCTGTAAAACTTATTACATAAGGTGATTGTAAAGATTAAAATAACTCACTGCCATTGAGTTGATGCTGACTCAGGAGACTCTACAGGACAGGGTAGAACTGCCTCTTTGAGTTTCCAAGACTATAACTTTTCACAGGAACAGAAAGCCCCATCCTTCTTTCTCCCTGGGCACAGTTGGCAGTTTTGAATTGCTGATCTTTCAGTTAGCAGCCCAATGTGTAACCACTCTGCCACCAAGGCTCTCCATAATCTTTAAATTTTATACCTCAAGCCAAAACATTCTCCAGATAATTAGCAAAGTGTGTCTGCCTTGAACAGTCTTTTCTTCCAAAGATTTAACTATAGGAGAACAAATTGACAACAATATCTTGAAAGGATAGATAAGAAGCTTAAAGGTAATGAATACGCTTATTGTGTTAAAATGTCAATACTACCTAACGTACTACACAGATTCAATATAATCCCTCCCTAAATTTCAATGGCATTTTATGCACAAGTAATAAAAGAAGTCCTAAAATCCACACTGAAGGTGTAGTTGGTTTCCAACTGCTGGTCTTCAGTTTAAGAGCCCAGTGCCTACTCCACTACACTACCAGACTCCAAAACCCAAACCCAAACTCAAACCAACCAACCAAAGATCAAACTTACTGCCATTGAGTCAATTTTGGCTCATAGTGACCTGTAGGGCAGGGTAGAACTCCCCCCATTGGTTTCTAAGCCTGTAACTCTTTATGGAAGTAAAAAGGCATGTTTTTCTCCTGAGGAGTGGCTGGTGGTTGCCATCTGCTGATATTGCAGTTAGCAGCCCAATTTATAACCAGGGCTCCAGATATCTGCTTATGCAGTACCCCATGAGCTGCTTCAGCACCCCTCAGGAAGCAGTATTACCCACTGTGGGAAACACTACTAGAGAGCAATGAAAAACAATAGAGAGCCTAGAAATAAACCTTTATACATATAGTAAATTGATTTCACACATAGCCCCACAAACCAATGGCCTCACATTATTTATTAATTTTAATCTCTTAATGTGGAAGCATAAAAAACAAGGAAGACACTAAGTACTTGCTAATCCATGTTCAACTGATCACATGGTAGCAAAGTCTAAAACTCAGTATGGCAGAATGTGAACCTAGGCAAATGCGGTGTGCATGCTGTCACACAGGGGATTCCTTATACACCCAGCTTAGTTCTTCTCCAATGTCTTCTCTTGGAATGTACCTGATCTTATTACTAGTTTACATTAGAATCCAGTGGGGAATGGGCAAATTCTGCTTTGTTTCTTGGCCAGGAATCTCTTGATCCTGAAAATCTTATGAAAAGACTTGGTGAAGATGGACAGAAACTGCACATGGAATGGCAGGGAAACAGAGAGCCATGGTCAACTGATTTTTGACAAGGGTATCAAATTATCCAAAGGGGAAAGCACAATTTTGTCAATAAATGGAACTGGTAAAATGGGATATACAAATGCAAAGAATAAAACTGGACACTTACCTTACCATTAAAAAACAAACAGGAAAAACCAAAATAATTCTAATGTCCAAATATAAAAGCTAAAACACTAAAAGTCTCAGAAGAAAACACAGAGGTCAATTTCTATAACTTTGGAATTGGCAATGAATTCTTGGCTGTAAGACTAAAAGCACAAGCAGTGAAAGAGAAAAACCTGATAAATAGGACTGCTTCAAAACTAAAAACTTTCCTTAAAAATGGGACCAGACAAAGATGACCTTTATCACCACTCCTATTCAATGTGGTGCTAGAAGTGTGAGCCAAAGCCATACAGACAAGGGAAGAAAATTAAAGGCATCCAAATTGGCAACGAAGAAATAAAGGTCCCTCTATTTGCAGATGATATGATCCTATACATACAAAGGAATCTTGGTGGCGGGTTATGTCTTGAGCTGCTTACCACATGTCTATAGTTCAAACCCACCAGAAGCTGAGAAAAAGATGAGACTTTCTGTTCACATAAAGATTTACAGCCTATTAAACCCAAAGGAACAGTTTTACTCTGCCTTATAAAGTTGACTCAATGGCAGGGAGTCTGTGGTTATTTAAAAAAAATTTTTTTTAACTCTACATAGAAAAAAGCCCAGAGACTCATCAAGAAAATTACTGGAAGGAATTGAAAGATCAGTCAAATTCTTTTACACTAATAAAGAGGATTCTGAATAGGAAATGAGGAAAACAATACCATTTAAAACTTCTCCCCCAAAGATGAAATGTATAGAAATAAATATAACCAAAGAAACAAAGGATCAATACAAAGAACACTACAAAACACTACCACAGGAAACCAAAAGAGATCTATGTTCTTCATGGATAGGAAGACTTAACATTGTGAAAATTTCAATAATACTCAGTGCTCTACAGATACAGTACAATTCTAATCCAGAGTACATCAATTTTTAAAGAGCTAGAAAAACTAATCACTAACTGTATATATTGTTGTTAGGTGCCATCAAATCAGCTCTGACATATAGCAACCCTATACAAGAGAAGGAAACACTACATAGTCCTGTGCCACCCTCACAATTGTTCCTATGCTTGAGCCCATTGAAGCAGCCAGTGTGTCAATCCATCTTGCTGAAGGCCTTCTTTTTTCACTGCCCTTCCATTTTACCAAACATGATTCTTCAGTGACTAGTCTCTCTTGACAACATGTCCAAGGTGGGTAAGATGAAGTGTTGCCATCCTTGAATCTAAAGAGCACTCTGGCCTTACTTCTTCCAACACAGATTGGTTTGTCCTTGTAGCAGTCCATCTTACTTTCAATATTCTTATCCAGCACCACAATTCAAATGCATTGATACTTCTGTAGTCTTCCTTATTCAATGTCCAACTTTCACATGCATATAAGAAAACCGAGAATACTGTGGCTCTGGCCAGGAGGACCCTAGTTCTCAAAGTAACATCTTGCTCTTCAGTACTCTAAAGAGATCTTGTGTAGCAAGTTTACCTAAAGCAATACATATTTTGATCTCATTTTTAACTTTTATCTCTTGATTGCTGCTTCCATGAGCATTGATTGTGGGTTCAAGCAAGACAAAATCCTTGAACAATTTCAATCTTTCATCCATTTATCATGATGTTACCTATTGGTCCAGTTGTGAAGAGTTTGGTCTTCCTTACATTGTATTGTAATTCATGCTGAAGGATTGTTACAATCCTTGATCTTTTTTTTTTTTTCACCTTTTAGGTTTTTATTAGTTCTCTCTGAAGAATCAAAATAGTTAGCAAATTACTTTAGATTCAAGACTGCATATCCTTTGTATTTAGAGCTTTAATGATGTACAACATAATACAAAACAAACCAGAGACACTGATTTCTAGGAGTAGGAGTTGACTTATGTCATCCTAAAGCCTTAGGTGAAGGGACAAGCTGCCCTCCAAGGACAGTGGTGTTCTTGCTGGGCAGCTAAGCTGTGACCCATCTTCTCCCCTGTTCAGTGTGCTGGGCAGGGACCAGTGATTTCTTAAACTGATGACTGTTTCCTAGAGCAGTGAACCCTGGGTAAGAAAGGGCTGTGGTCTGATCCAAGCCAGGTCAGGCGCTGGGGGCAGGGAAGCATGGTGAATTTGCCTGGCAGAAGGAGGCGAACTCGGGGGTGGGGTGGGTGTGACTGACTCTTTGCACCGCAGAGGCATTGCAGACCAGTGTAACACTAAGAGACTTTGTTTAAACGTGGAGAGAACGAAAGCAGACCCCGGAAGAACCTTTCAGTCACCCTGAACTTAGAATGTGTTCAATCTACCGGGAGGCTGTGGTGGGTTGAAGAGGGAGTGCCTAGCCCCAAGCAGCACTGGACCTGGCTGGTCTGCCTCCTGCCCCTCCCTGCCTTGTTCCCTTCGGGGCCAGGTCTGGGCTGAGGACACACAGGCCCCAGAAAGGGAAGGGCCAAGGTGGGAAGGACACTTCTCAAAACAAATACATTTACTGCAGGCGAGGAGTCAGGCATGTTCTGGGGCATTCACATGCCTGAACCGCCCATTCTCCCTGCCAGACAGGGTGTAGGTCATAGAGGTTTTGGCGAGCACGGTCTCCACACCTGACCTCCCACCCCCAAGAGAAAATCCAGAAGTGTGTCCCTTCTTCCCTGCAGGTGGGCTCTGCAGGGATTTCAGGGGTGGGGGTTCCGTGGCAAGGCCGAGGCCAGGCCTGTTCTCAGCTGGCTCCTGCCCGGGCCATGAGGTCTTCCAGAGCATTTTCCTGGTCATTGTTGTGTAATAGCAAAACTTCTTTAATGTCTTTCAGTTCAAAGCCCATTTCTTTAAATTTGCTCATTAACTGAAGAAATTCCATCATCTTTTCTTCTGAGCACTGGTGCACTTCCAGAGCCTCTGCCACCAAAAGAGGGTCGAAGCCCTTCTCACAGAGCTGTCCGTGTGCAAACAGGTAGTCGAGAATCTGCTCAATATTCTCTCCTTTCTTCTTCATGGCTCTCAGGACACACTCATATGAGTAACCCATATTGACCACCGTCTCCACACACTGCTGCTCGCTGGGAGACAGCGTCTGCAGTTCAGAATAGGCCTGGGGACAGGTGGCAGTGTTGGGCACTTGTGACATTGAGAAATTAGGAGGGGTGACCTGTACTTCTCTGACAACCTGCAAACAATCAGGCAAGGAGAAGCCAATAGGTAGACCAACTTTAGCTGGTGTTTTGAATTTGTCTCCTATCTTAAATGGAACATCATCAAGGTAACTGAAAGTCCCATGAAAATCTGCACCCAACTTCTTAGAAGCCATTTAGAACCTGAACGCCGCTACCACACCGTCCCAGAAGCCGAAGGGTGCCAGCGCCGACGGGTCGCCCAGGCCTTCTCCCCTCTGAGCCCCGGACAGCCCCTAGGGAGAACGGACGCCGCCGCCTCCAACTCTGCCCGCCCCAGGCCAGGCCGTCACCGTAGACGCCGCCAGTACCGCAGCCGCCATGTTGAAGTCCTACTTCCCTCACAATCCTTGATCTTTATCAACAAGTGTTTCAAGTACTGCTCACTGTCAACAAGCAAGGTTGTGTTGTCCGCATATTGCAGGTTGCTAATGTCTTCCTCCTACCCTGATGCCACATTCTTCTTTATATAACCCAGCTTCTCTGATTATTTGCTCAGCAAATAGATTGAACTAATATGTTGAGAGGATACAAGCCTGTCACATACCTTTACTGTTTTAGACCATGCAGTATTCCCTTGTTCTGTTCGCACAATTCCTTCATGATCCATGTACAAGTTCCTCATGAGCACGATGAGGTGTTCTGGAATTCCCATTATTCTTAAGGTTATGGAAGGTTTATTTTTGTACACACAGTTGAATGCCTTTGCAGTTAATGAAACACAAATAAACATCTTTCTGGTATTCTCTGATTTGAGCCATGATCCATCTGACATCAGCAATGATATCCCTTGTCCCACGTCCTCTTCTGTATCTAGCCTGATTCTGGCAATTTTCTGGCAATGTACTGCTGCAACAGTTGTTGGATGATCTTCAGCAGAATTTTACTTAAATGTGATATCAATGATACCATTCTATAGTTCGAGTATTTTTTAGGTTACCTTTCTTTGCAATGGGCACAACTACGGATCTCTTTCAGTCAGTTGGCCAAGTAGCTGTCTTCCAAGTGGCAAAACAAGTGAGTATTCCAGTGCTTCTTCAGCTTACTAAAACATTTTGATGGGTATTCCATCAATTCCTGTAGTCTTGTTTTTGGATAATGCCTCAGTGCAGTTTAAACTTCTTCCTTCACCACCAGTGGATCTTGCTCATATGCTACCTTCTGAAATGGTCAAATGTCAACTAGTTCTCCCTGGTACTGTGACTCTGTATATTCTTTCCATCTTCTCTTTTTTCTTTTTCTTATATATATATTTCTTTTAAAAATCATTTTATTGGGGACTTGAACAACTCTTATCACAATCCATACATAAATACATTGTGTCAAGCACGTTTGTACATTTTTTGCCATCATCATTCTCAAAACATTTTCTTTCTACTTGAGC